TTGTTTAAGTGTACATATAACCACAGTGAAAACACAGACACCCCTGGAAGACCACACATGTCCGTTTACAGAGTTTCCTTCTAGACGTGTGGGTGGTAGAACTGGTGTTTCTTATTTTTAAAACTTTTTAAAAAGCGATATGATGGTGGGTGATTTTGACTCTGTGCCTTTCGTTCTTCTGTCTTTTGTCGCTACAACGTCTTTGACAATGAGCACGTAAAGTAAGTCAACGTGGAGACAAAAGTGGAAGGCAGGGCCCACGCTCCAGAGAGGGCGCGTCATAGGCCTTGTCCTCCCAGCAGCCCCCGGGGAGCCGCGGCACAGCCTGGCCTTGACCCCAGATCTGTCTAGGTAACTGGCCAACACCATTCAGAGTCCTCGGCTGGCTGACCCATGTCCCCTCCCCCTCACTTACTTTTTCCAGAGACTCTGTGAAGTGGGGGCTATTTACTGGCAGGAAATGGAGACACAGGGAGGGTTGGTGACAGATTCAAGGCCACGCGGCTTGCGAACGCTGAGGCGGGATTTTAACCCGGTGCTGGGCTCCTGTCCCGGCCTCTGTGTCTGTTTCCTTGGATGGCTCTGAACTTGGAGCAAAGGCGGGACCACGGCCCAGCCCTGACCCAACTGGGCTCTAGGATGATGGGGGATGGGCCGTGTCTCCAGCCCCCTACACCCAAACCACTGTGGCCAGTGGCCCTCCCGGCAGGGGACTGTCCATCAGTACCGATGAGTGGACGAAGCTGGGGAAGGACTGAGCTTCCCGGTGATGTCAGTCACGGCGGTTCACAGAGCCCGGTGCCTTTAAGTGACTGACTCAACTCCCGTCCACCCATGAGCGAGCCACAGGCCGGACACTGTCACCTTCTGACAGGCTCTGGGATTTTACAGAGACACAAAGCAACTCGGAGGAAGCTCGGGCAGAATATGGAGAGAGACCCTCGTGACTCCATTTCCACAAAGTTTAAAACAAGCTAAGTCACAGCTGCTAGAAGCCCGCAGCGGCTACCATGGGCGGGAGGCGACCGGGAGGGGCGGGGCCTGGGGACCGGGGACCCGGGGCTGGTGACACTGCGGTCGGTCCGAGCGGTGCGGGCATTCAGCCAGCTCAACACACTGGAGCACGTTTTTGTCTGTCGATTATTCTTCAGCTGAAGGTTTTAAAATGCTCATGGTTTCTGAAGTCCCTTAAAGTATTCGGGGTCCCTGAAAAGCGGGTGGGGCACAGGGCGGCTGCGTCCCCTCCCCCGCCAACAGCTCAGGCCCCCGAATGGAAATACCCACCCCCCGCTGGGTCCCCACATCCCATTAGCCAGACGGGCTCCCACATGGCCCTGGGGGTGCTGCCCATGGGACTCAGGGCCAGGAAACAGGTGCTGCTGCCTGGGCCTGCAGCTGAGTCACCAGCCCCAGAGGGTCAGCGCTCACCGTCCTCCGGGCTGAGCCGCCCGGAAAGGACCCAACAGGTGAGTCACCCCAGGGCACAGGTGGATTCCAGACACCCAGCCTCTGACCTGCAACAACACTCCCTGGGGAAGCTCCCCAGGATGGGATGCCATGGGGAGAAGGGAGGGGGGAGGGGGAGGGGAGGGACAGGCAGGAGTAGAAGGGGGCGGGGCTGGGGTGGGAGGACCTAGGTAGGAGGCAGCAGGGGGAGGGGGCGGGGCTGGGGTGGGAGCCTCCCCGGTTGGGTGGGGGGAGCAGGAAGGGAGAGGAGGTGGGCTGGGGAGAGGAGACTTCCTGGCCCAGAGCCCTGGGCAGTGAGGAGCTGGGGGAAAGAAGATGCTGAGGGTGGGCTTAGGGAAGAGGAAGGTTCCCCACAGGCAGGGCAGGAGGCACAGGTGGCGGGCAAGGATGGCTCAAACCAAAGAGTCCCGGACTTGCCAGATGAGCAAAGCTGAACCACCCGGAAAACACCATGCCCCCTCTCCACTCACCCAAGAGTTGAGCTTGCCCAGGAGCAGTGCTGGGGGCGGGAGGTGCTGCTGGTGTGGGGTTGTGGGCCTGACGAGAGGCCCTGACGGCCCCCAAGACACTGGCGGAGACGGTGGCGGAGGGTGGTGGCTGGTCAAGACCTGCCTGAGCGCCTTTAGAACTGCAGTCTCTCTCTTTTCCTCCAGTGACCCCAGGCTTATTCCAGCCCCAGCTCCCAGCTTTCGGAGATGTGCCAGCCACTCTGCAGGGCGGACCTCGATGCCTGGGCATGGGCACCGTGGGCAGGGGGTGTTCCCGGAAGCCATTCCCACCCTGCGAGGGCTGGCCGCACCTCAACCGTAAATGTACGTGAGATAGGTCCACCCCACTGTAAACACACCCACCACGAACCAGGTAAATCTTCCCTCCCACCCGAGGTCCAGCTAAACGCATCCCCATTCCAACCTCCCCTGAGAACCGGAAATGCCTGGGGCCTCCCCAGCACCACTTTCCACGAGGGTAATCCCGGCTGGGGAGGGATGTAGAAAGACGCAGGTCTGGACTGACTGTGCTTATGGCTTATTTCAAATCTTACAAAAGTGTGCAACCTTGCAAACAGTCGCCTTAGGGCCCTGCCTGAGGTCCAGCCTGCTGATTGCAAGGGCCAGCAGCCAATCTTCCTTCCTCTGGCTCAGAACCCTGATTTCAGCGGGGCACCAGCACCGCACATACTTACAGACCTCATCTTGCAGCTTCCAGTGCGGCTGGACGTGACTCTGGCCAGCAAGATGTTCAAAGAAGTGGGAGGAGGGGTCCCCCGAGGGTTGGGAAAGGGAGGCGGGGATCCTCTCGGCCAAAGTCCCCAAACTGCTTATCTCTCTTCTCAATCATCTCTCCCTTCTCCTCAGCTCACACCCTTACTAAAAACACCGACTGTTCCTATGGACAAAGTAAACAAATCTTCACACGTATCATGAATTCTTTAACGAAGACATATTGATGAGCTGAATGCATACACTCAAAAGACCATTCATAGAATTAGATCAACCTTCACTTTGGCCAGATCCTTAACAAGCTACTATCGTTAGGGAGCAACTGGGATTTTTTTTTCATGACGACTGAGCTACTGGGGCGGGTGGCGTGGGTAGGGCTGGGGTTAGCAGCTAGAACCCATGGAAGGGCAGGATCAAGGATGCAACATTTGTGGAGTCAAATGAAAGCCAAGGTTAGATGGTCAAGACATTTCCTCATTTCTTCAATAGTAATGAGATCACCATAGGATCAGTAGGCGGTGTCCCTTTGTCATCCTCTCTTCTAAGCCTCCTCCTTTTATGAGCCCATCTCACCACCATTAGCTCCTAACCAGCACTGGAGGTGTGCATCCCTTTACTCATTTGTCTTCATTAATTCATTCATCAAATATTTGTCGACTGTTTTGTGTGAGACACCGTTTATTAGTGAGGAGTCATTCCAACTACATATAATAGAAACCCTCCAAACAACATTTGGCTTAAGTAAAAGAAAGGTTTATTTCTCTCTGTTGGGAAACAAGCCTGGAGGTCAGAAGCCCAGGGACCCAGGCTCCTTCAGTCTTGCTGTCATCCAAAGTCATCACCTTGTGGCCCAAAATGGCTGTTCAGCTCCAGCCCTTGCATCCACATTCCAGGCGGGAGGAAGGAGGAAGGGAAAAGGACCAAAAAGGGGGCCTACCTGTGCGATCCCTTTCACCTGGAATGCGCTGGGCCCCACCTGGCCAATCTTGCTCACCTTTCAGGTCAAGCTCCCTGAATACACATACCTCCTTCTCATGATAATGAAGTGGTTATTTGTACAACTGTTTTTGTGCATTCAGGTCTCCATTAGACTGTAATTTCCGTCTGCTGCCGCAGTCCCCGTGTGGTGCCGGGGGAAGCAACACCTCTCCGGGGACGGGTGGATGAGCCTGTGCTGGACTGTGGGCTCGGTTTTCTCTGGACTCGCTCTTCCTGCTTACCAGGCCCAGGTTGGTGTTTGGTGGTGAACAGGGCCTCTAAGGGAAGATGGGCCAGCTCACAGAGCAAGGATAAAATTATGCTTTCTGTTTGATTTCCATTACTCTAATGGTGACCCATTTTATCTGCCTCACACTGGGCTGTCTTCAAGGTGACAAGGTGACAGTGTCTCACTGGGTCACTGCTGAGCGTACAGAGCCCATTACAACGCTGGCCGTGGGTCTCAGCACAGCCTGTGCCGGGAAGCAGGCACCTGCTATCCGGGGTGGCATCCTCCTTTGTCTAAATGCCGCTGCTGGCCCTGGGAAGTCACAGCATCTCTCCTCGCTTCTGCCTTGCTGGGTCTGCAGGCTTCTGGCGCCCACCTAACTCTCCCTGGCCAGGGTCATGGGCCACACCCAGGATTTGTACAGAATCCCCTCACCCAGACTGAGGGAGAAGCAGCGACAGTGGGTGTCCCCCCGGGTGGTGTCTTGGTGACAGACCATGTCAACTTAGAGGACCCACATTTGTTCCATGAAGGGAACGTCTGCAGGGACCCCTTCTGGCCCAGCAGCCCCTGAGGGACGTAAGGAGGGCCCACAGCTCTGAGGCGGGGGAGCCAGTCAGCCCCCAGGAACTGAAAGCCTAAGTGCCCCCCTAGCTGAGTTGCCCCATTTTAGAAAAACAGGACGGGGTCTTGGCCCCCGAGGACCACTGGGCACCGACCGGGAGGCAGGGAAGCTGGGCGAGCTTTGGCCTCCCGTCCTCCCCCCATGGATGGCTCTGAGGCTGAATCCGCCATCCAGCCGCTGCAAAAGCGTGCGAGGGGGGTGCCCCGGGGCCCAGGACCCAGCGACCCGCCCAGCTTGGATTGAGGGTCTCTGGCTGCGGAGGGCCCGCTGGCGGCACGCGACGCGGTGCCGAGGTGGGGGGCTCGCTGCCCCGGGGCCGCTAACAGCCGGGTCGGGGGGCTCTCGCGCGGGGTGCGGGGGTCTCTCCGCCGTCCCCGCCCTCCCGCAGGCGCTCCGAGCGCCCCTTGGGAACCGAGTTCCAGTCCCTCCCGCCCACTCGGGCCGGCGAGGGCGCGGGGGGCGGGAACCGAGCCCGTGACGCGGCGGAGCGGCCCCGGACGCGCCGCATAAATCGCGGTGGCGGCGGCTCCGGGCGCTGACACGTCGAGGGAGCCCAGCCGCCCTGAGCTTCCCGCCTCCGTGTCCCCGAGGCCGCGCCATGCGGTGAGAGCCCCCTGCCCTACCCTACTCGACCCGACTCGACGGACGCGCGGCCCCGCCGACATCCCCGGACCCGCTGACGCCCCAGGACCTGCAGATCCCCCGGGCCCCGCCGCTCAAGGTACCGCGCCCCAGGGGACCCCAGCGGGAGGCGGACCCCCTTTCTCCGCCGTCCCCTCTCCGGAGCGCCCACCTGAGGGTGGACCTTCCCTGGGGCCGGCGCGGCGCCTCTGCCCCTTGCCCAGGCTCTCGGTCCTCGGCACCTCGGCTCCTGGCCGCCCTTCCCGCACCCGCGGGGGGTGGGGGGGGTCCGAGCCTCCGCCCGACGTGAGCCCTGGGGACTGAGACCGGCCCCCCCGCGCCGTCCCCCACCGCCCGCCTTCCCTTGCAGATGCCCAGAGGCTGCGCCCTCCTGCTCGCCTCGCTGCTCCTCGCTGCGGCCCTTTCAGCCACCCTGGGGCTCGGGTCGCCGGTAAGTGCAGGCTGGGGAGCAAACGCTCCCCAAGCGGGTCCCCTTCTCTGCAAAGGGGGGCAACCGCATCAGAACCAGACTCGGGGGAGGGTGGGTGCCTTGTGCCATCGGTTCTGCCTCCGGGCGGGCGGGGGTGGGGGGGGTCCCTGCCGCGGGGAACTGCGCAGGGAGGGGCCCGGCTCCTGCGAGCAGACCAGAGGGGGCTGGGCGGAGGGCGGCGGTTTCCGCTCAGAGGCCCCCTCCTTTCCTCCTGGCACCTCGCCTCTCCCAGTGTGTAAACAGCCCCTGGCTATCGACCACTAAACATGGACACTGCGGTGCTTGAGGTTAGCGCCTCGGACGAGTGAGAAGCAAATCTCGTTCCATTCAGTTCAGTAGTGCGCCAGTGCACCGTGTGCGAGCTGGTGTTAACAGATGTTCCCAGCATCACTTAAAAGCCAGTGGGTGCACCCTGAGCCTGTGGCCTACGGCGCAAAAGGAAGCGTTTGATAAGGCAAGTAGTCCTATTTTCATGTCAAATATAGCTTATCTGCAAATCTGGAATTTCTTGCAGCTTCCAAAGGTACATGCATTATTGAAAGTCCTGTGTCGCGCCTGGAAGGTCTGAGCGAATTTCACTTAATGTCCTTCTAATTTCATTTAAAGCTCTTGCTTTAACAGTTTGCAACTCTTGGCTTAGTATATGAAAGAGTAACTAAAGTGTGTTTGTAATTTAAGTTCTGTGATTATGTGAAGTAAATAACTTCACAGGCTGCCATGGTGGGTTATACAAGCAGAAGCGGCCTTTGGGGCTTCTTTGAGCCATCGCAGCCGGTACCAGGCAAGATTCTTGCCATCTGAACCCCCTTCTCCCATTTAAGGTGAAGGAAAAGAGAGGCTGGACCCTGAACAGTGCTGGCTACCTTCTTGGACCACGTAAGTGATGCGGGTACATGGCCTCTCGACACCGAACCTGCCCTTCTAGTGCTGGCTGTGGCGCTTGTGCTCATCCTGCTGTTTCTGAAATATGCGGGTGGCCAGTCATCGTTCTGATACCTTGATATTCCAGTTTGAGTTTGATAAAGGGAAACAGGGGAGTCTTCCATGAGACTCTGAGGCAGGATGCTTTCTCTGTAGGTTTAACTGATTCCCTGAAAGGCAGCCCCCGGGATGTCCCAATTCTCAGTCTCCTCCCCGTTTGTCCCCCCAACCCCAGCCTTGGGGCACCTCGCTCTTTCTTGAACCCTGACCCATCCTACAGCCTGCAGCTTGGCAAACCCTCAGGGCCCTCTCCTGCCTTCTCTGCACCCTTCCCCCTTTTTACCCCCGTTCCTCGGCCCGGCCAGTCTCAACTGCTCGGCACATTGGCCCAGGCCTGATACCTCCGGAAGCCTCTCCTTCCTCTGGCTCTCCTGCCCTGCACCCCATGGGATTCCTAGCGTCGGACTTTGCTCAGGCTTTCCCAGGTGACCGTCTTGGAAGGCAGACATCCCTTGGGGCTCTGTTCTGGGCCCTCTCTTGGGTCCCTCTGTGTCTCCCTAAACGTTCCCATCCACTCTTTGGCTTCACAGAGCACCCCAGGTCAACTGACCCCAGCCTTATCTCCATCTTCCGTGAGCCTAAGCCTGGGATAGGAATTCACAGGTGACCTGGAGAAGCCAAAACATGCTCACCCCAAAACTAAATGCAGAAGGTTCTCGTCCTGCTCCAAATCTGTCCCTGGAGCTGTCCTGCAGGGTGACTGACACTTGGTGTCTCGTCCTTGATGTGACGTCGTCTGGACTCGGTGGGAGTAGTTTGATTACATTCATGATGCAGAGAATCCAGTGAGTCTAGGGCAGCTGGGGCCTTCAGAGACCCCCTGTTCGACTGCTGCATTTACAGGGAAGCACACCGAGCCTGCGGCTCAGAGACCAGCTCGCTGCTGTGGAATTCCTAAGTGGGCGCAGAAGGTGGCGGGCAACGGGGGAGTGGGTGTGTGCAGACAGGCCACGCCTCCAGCGCTAAAGGGCACAGCTCTGGGCAGTGCAGGCTACGGCCACTGCGGCCTCCCCTCGCCCACTCAGCCCCCACTCTCTGCTCTCTTCACGTCCTCTGTCTGCAGTGACACCTTCAGATTTTAATTGTCCTAAAGGAGGGGGCGAGGGGAGACCTTTCACTTCCCATCCAACCTCCTACCTACTCGTAGCTTTCAAATTTGCAGGCATGGTTGATTTGGGGGCATCCATCCACCTTAAAAAAAAATCCTCCTCTATTTATTTCCTACTTTCTTGCCGGAAACGAGGCAAACAACTCATATATAGCTCATATCCCAATCCTTCCAGAGTCGTTGGGAAGAATGGTCCCCGTTTAAACTACCCCGGGGAGCTACTTTTAGTTCTTAATCCCCAAGTTTAAGTACAGACTCTTCTCCCACTGCAGGTGGTTGTTTATCTGACCACCTGGAGGGTGCCTGAGAGCCGGGCTTTGAGAAACACAGGCACAGAAATGACAAAAACTAAATGGGGCCACAGGCAGGATCTGCTGGGCACCTTTAGTCTCAGATCAAACGCAGCAGCCGGTCCCCACGTGGTCTTGTCACTTCGCCTGCAGGAGGCAAAGACTGATTTAAAGGGCACGAGTTTTCCTGAACCCTTTGCAGCCCTGAGTTCTTCCCCTGAGAAAGCACCTCGTCTCTGTGCCACTGGCTCGAAAGAAAGAAGGAGCCCTTCAACAGAAATACTTGTCCATGTGACTCTGGCATACTGAAAATGTACTTATCAAGAAGATTTAGGGAATTCCTTGGCGGTGCAGTGGTTAGGACTCAGCGCTTTCACTGCTGGGGCCCGGGTTCGATCCCTGGTCGGGGAACTAAGATCCCACAAGCTTTGTGGCACAGCCAAAAAATCCTGTTAGAAAACAAACCGTTTTTCGCTATCAAGTTGGATCACCAGAAGCTGTCCGTCTGGACTAGCCATCTGTCAGGATTCTCTGCAACTTCACACTGTGCTCCTGACTTCTGTTCTCAGGTCAGCGCAGAAAACGGCAACATAAAAATGCTGAGGATAGTTTGAGCCTGACTGCACCCAGTGGCCTTTGGAAGCGCCGGGTTACTTATCATTCCTCCACATTTAATGCCAAGACCTCTGTCTCTGGAAAAATGAATTCGCTTTCTTTTGTCTGGGCTTGGAGATGGTACAGTCCACCAGGCCAGGTAGCCAGAGACCGAGAGCCAGGCCTTCTCCTTTAGCCCGGAGAGGGCCCCTATCAGGCCCTTCTCTTCATTCCAGGGCACTTGGTGGAGAGCCCTCATTCTTTCTTTCCAATACTTTTGTTTTTGTTTTTGTTTTTTTGCCCGTGCCGCTCAGCACGTGGGATCTTAATTTCCCGACCAGGGATCGAACCTGGGCCCCTGCAGTGGAAGCGCGGAGTCCTAACCCCTGGACCGCCAGGGAACTGCAGTTACCATTCCCCCGTGTCACTCCACCCAGAGTGTGCGCCTGCGTGCACACACACACACACACACACACACACTCAACCTCCCTCCTTCCCTCCCCTCCTCCTTCTGTCTCCGTCTGTACCTCTCTCCCCGGCTTCAGTCTGTCTCCCACACAGCAGCCAGTGATCTTTGAGAAATAAAATTCTGATTACATCAGAACCGCAAATCCTGTGGTTCCCCCCCCCCCGACCCCGTTTTCAGAGACGCAGGACTCCAGCCCCTGTCCTCTGCCTGGGAGGCATCCAGCTCAAACTCCAGCCGCCCCAGGGCCCCCTTGGCACTCCCCTCTCCCTGCACCAGGTCTGCGCCCCTGGGGCCGGTGCCCTCTGCTGGCCACGTGCTGCCCCCTCTTGACTGGAGGCTCCCCTCTTGTTCCGTGGGGCCCCAGCACCTGGAGAAGAGCTGTACCCTGGCCCTGGCACGAGTTCCTCCCTCAGGTTCCACGGAGAACAGCCCCCTCTTCCACGGTCTCGTGCCTGGGCTTTGTTTTTGCAGTCCGTTGTGCTGTGTGTTGGCTATAAGCGGCCATGTGCCCTTCATTACAGTGGCAACCCTAGGTGCTTTCCTCTGATTTGCAAACAGATGCCATTGACAACCACAGATCATTTCACGACAAGCATGGCTTCACTGGCAAGCGGGAACTCGAGCCTGAAGACGAAGCCGGGCCGGGTGAGAGGACTTTAATCTCAGGGCACACAGGGCAGTGGGGGGTATCGGGCTCCTGCCACCGCTAACCCACAGCCAGGGCCTGAGCTTGGCCCGGCCCCATCTGTCAGCCGCCAGAAATAGGAGCAGCAAACCTGAGGGTAAGCTCAGGGGCGGCCACAGGGGCTCAGGGCCTCCACTGCGCTGAGCCGGGCTCTGAGAGGGAGGGAGGGACACGCCGGTGATGCCCCCAGGTGCCCAGGTCTAAGACAGGCACCAAGGTCGTCAACGCTGATCCCCTGGTTTCTAGGAAGCGTTGACAGGCGGCTGTTGGAGAACAATGTCGTGCGCACGATAATCGAGTTTCTGACTTTCTTGCAGCTCAAAGGTATGTGAAATAGTACCAACATAAAATGCCACCTCTTAGAAGCCTGTGCACATTAAAAAAACCTGTCAAGAAAGGATTCCACAGACTTCTCCTGGGAAGGAACCGTGGTCCACCTGCACACCGACAGTCACGCTGGTGGGTGGGGTTACAGGCGGGGTCATGGGAACCAGCTGCAAAGGGGCCTGGTTCATTCACTCTGCTGGACCCACATTTCTTGACATGGTAACAGCGGCTGTACCTTACGGGGCCTAGTTACTACACACAGTCAGGCTCTCCGTAGGCCACCTTAAACCGTATCTTGGGAGCGCGGCGAGTGAAGGGAGCCCGCGGCCCGGATTGCCCTTTCACCCTGCGCAGCCTCCAGTGGGGCTGGCTGCATGTAACCCCGACAGCTCTCCATCCCGGGATCTAGTACAGCTGACGGGGGCCTTTCTGTGAAGCATTCAGCCCCAGCATTTCTGTGCCTCAGGGCTGTCATTCATGCCACTGTGAGGGTCAAATCTGCCCCTGTGGAAGGGGCTCAGGGTTCACCACAGGGAGGTGGCCTGGGGACACAGTGGGACATGGGCCACTTTGAAGCTCCAAGGGAGACCTTGGGTGGTCAGGTTCTGCACATCACAGTTTTGTTGTCTAGTTGGAAGAGCGAAGACTAATTCTTGGGTTCTGTTTTGATCCATTTGCTCTCAGGCTCCACTGCCTTAGTTGAGGGACTTCAGGTGGGTGTGGGGAGGGGGGAAGGAGTAGGGGGAGGAGACTTAAGGCCTGTGGCTTTTCCTTAGAACCATCCATGGGCAGGGGGACTGTGGGAGAAAAACTTAGAAACTTCAGGACCAAGTAACCGATCCCCACTGTTTGAGCCCAGTGCAGGCTTTGGGGAAATCTCTGCTGGAGAAAATCTGCCGGTGACTTTTCCAGTGAGGGGCAGATGGACTCTTCCGGGTTTTTTGTTTGTTTGTTTTGTTTTGGGTGTTGTAACATGGAACTTCTTTCATTAGGAGACATCGATTTTCATTGCCCAAACAGGAATTACACTTTTTTAGAGTCTGACCGTTTCAAATGCATGCTAAGTACGAGAGTTAAATGTGACACGTGCCTGATCCTGGGTTTGCTGCCGTGAGCATCTCTGCAGAGGACGGGCACTTGAACTTGGCCCTCCCCTCTGCAGACGCCGGGGCCCTGGAGCGCCGGCCCGGCCTCCCCGCAGCAGTGCCCTTGGAAGGTGTGGAGCAGTCCTAGGAGGCTCCCAGGGTGGTGCGGCTCTTCTTTGGCATCGAAGTCAAGCTCAAAGCCTATGATAATCATACGGCAACGAGTGCAGACTCAACCACCCCCGTCCTCTCTGCCCTGCTGCTGTGCTCTTATCATTTAAGATTTTTCCCCTTTGGTCGTAATTTTGAGTGGCAAATAAAAAACCAGCAACAGCTTGTGATTACCGTTTTCTTCCACACGTCTGTCTTGTTGCCACTGCCACCAGTGTGTGTTTAAAAGATGATGCTTGATTATAGTCACACGTAATAGAGAAAAGTTTTACACCCAAATTCTACCATCCAGAGCATCTCTGAGACACTTTCTCTCGTCACTCATGTCCAGGGAACAAAGTTATCTTATGCTGAGTCAAACGTAATTATGAAGGTAAGTCTGTTTCTGAGACAAACAAAACCACAAAACAGACAGAGCCCCTGGCCTCATGGAGTTGATGTTTTAGGGAGATGGGAACCAAAAAGCCTAAAGAAACCCTAAACATGATAGATGAGAGAATTGTCTGGTGCTTGTGAAGGTGAAAAGTGACAACGAGAAGCAGCCACAGTGCCGGGGCCACGGGTGAAGTGGGGATTAACACGCACAGCGTTAAAGTCCGTGTGGCTGAGTTAGAAAGTAACTATCGTAAAAACCATAACTATTTTATGTGCTAAGTCAACGATGAGTTAAAGGCAGCATGTGGGGACAGTAATAGCAGAGATGGGGTGATCTCTGGAGCAGAAATAAAAAGGTCATACAGAATCCAAAAAGAAAACAGGCAAGGATGAGAAGCCAGACATCAAGATAAATGATGGCCTGTAGGCCCCTTCGCACGAACCAGAGCAGATCTGATGCGGAAGTGGGAGGGATCTTTCCATGCTCTCTCCCCCAGCAGTGCCTCTCACCCTTCAGGGCCCAGGTTGGCCCCCAGACCACCGCAGTCAGAGTCTGGGCACCCGCCGTGTTTTCGTGCTCCCCCAGGTGATTGCAATACGCAGCCAAGCGTGAGACTCGCCCCCTAAAGACCGGCTTCCGAGAAGAAGTAGACACTGGTTAGTTATCCAAGCCCTGCTGGTAGGGCCCCAGCCCCCGCTTCCTCTCCCTGCTCCCTCTCTCATGACACGTGCCACTCACTGGCAGCCACTCTCCCTCCTCCCACCAGCCATCCTTCCCTCCTCTGCACATGCCATGGGCAGACCCGGCTGGTCCAATCCCAGCTCAGGGTTCAGGAACACCACACATGGGGTTCCGCAGGCCCCGGGCCTGTCCTTCACTCCCTTACCCCTCACCATCCTCGCTTCTCCTCTTTCACATTGCTTTAAATCGCCCAGACTTGGGTGGGCCCCAGGGTCCCTGGAGGCCTCGTCAGAAGTCGGGTGGCCAGCCCTGCCCACAGTGCTGGTTCAGGAGGACAAGGTGTGCAGGAGCCGCACTCCGAACAAGCACCCCACTGATGCCACTGCTGCTGGTCAGGGACCACACCTCATTTACTCACTCCAGCCCGCAGCCGGCAGCCTGGTCTCCCTCTGGCCTTGCCTCCTTCCTTCCGGCGGCCGTGGACACACCTGTCCCCACCCCAGCCCGCTCTAGTAGCCTCCTTATACCCTAAGCACCAGACCCCCACCAGCAGCTCCTGGCCCAGCCTCGCTCACCCAAGACCTCTGCACACATCCCTCCTGGTGCCTGGTAAACTCCTCCACGTCCCACAGGACCCCACTCTGCAGCGGCTGCTCAGGGGCGCCTTCCTGCTCGCCCTCCGCCGCAGGGCTGTGAGCAGGCCCAGTGTGTGCCGTGCTGCCCCAGTCGAGTGCGCACCGCTCTCATTCCGTCTGCGGCTGTGTCTCCTCACCACGCTGTAACTCCCTCAGGAAACAAACCGTGCTGGGTGGGACAGAGGTGCACCTGGGCCACTCTCTGCGCTCAAGCATGGCACCTGGCGGGCAGGAGAGCTTTACAACACACATCTCGGGAGTAGAGGTAGGAACTGCCAAGGCAGCCCTGCCACAGTGCAGAGGCGTGCGCTCCAGAATCGGGCTCTGCAACCTCAGCCCCTCTCGGCCACCCGCCTCCTCCAAGCTTCTTCCTCCTTTTCGGAATAACTGCCGTGGGAGAGGTGGTCGCAGCCACAGGTGAGGGGCGGGGCGGCCGTGGTGCCGTTTGCCGGCCAACAAAGTGGTGGACGAGGTGGCCATTCTCAGAGAGGCTGCAGAAGAGACCCTTTACTTCCAGAGAACGTGGTAGGAGCTGTCTACGGCCGTGCCGGATAACTCAGTCGCCAGCCATGGCGGTATTTTCAAGGAAAAGGGTCCACCGGCCGCCGGAGGAAGTGGAGAGTTCGCAGACAGTCCTGAGAGCCACCCAGGTGGCCAGCCGAGAGGTGGAAGAGGAGAGCGTGGGCGTCATTTACCTTGAGGAGGTGGCTGTATCCATCCCACGAAGGCGCAGTCATACACGCTGATGGCTACGCCCCAGCTCCGCCGCCTGCCCAGAACCACGCTGCTGGGTCATACTCAGTGCGGGGGGGCTTGCTGAGCGGCCGCCCGGGCCGAGGAAGAGAGAGCCGCGCTCGGGAGGCCCTTCCGGGAGGGAGGGGAAAGTGATGCTTGAGAGGAGAGGAGAGAGGTACTGGGAGGCTGAGGGGGTCCCAGGGCGGGGCGGTGAAGTCTTAGAAAGACAAAAAATCACAGCTGATTACCTTCTCACGTACAACCCACAACTTTTGCTTTTAGTACATTGCAAAAGAGAGAAAGAGAGAGAGAGATTCTAGCAGTCCATTTTAAAGTCTGGATCTTACCCTATTTTACCCAAGGTAAAAACGAAGAAGCCTCTAGAAAACAGAAAGCTTGACCACCTCTGATCTAAGTTTAAGAAAAAATGTTTGCTGACTTCCACTTTCAGGAGTGGGTATACTTTTCTCTTACCCTCTTGTCAGCACAATGAAAAGCCCTGGACATTATATATGAAACAAGCACAAGGAGACTCCAAGTCAGGAAGCAGCAGCCCAGCCAGGGAGCTCGGGAGTGAAGGGTGACACGGTGCGGAGACGCTGGGTTTCCTGCTTGCCTCCTGAACAGGGCGAAGAGGTCGATCCGCTCCAAGCTGATACACAGGCTTCACACAGTTCCCATCAAGAAAGGGCACGAAAAGACAAAATAGGGACTGGGAGAAAATATTTGCAAACCACATATGCCATCAAGGACTGTCACCTAAAACATATAAAGAACCCTCAAAACTGAACAAAAACCAAAAATCGAGTTAAAATGGGCAAAATACATGAACAGACACTTCACCGAAGAGGTTACAGAGATGAAAAAAAGCTCAAGAAGAGATGTTCAACATTATTAGTCACTTGGCGGATGCACAGTAAAAACACAATGAGGTATCACTAAACACCTATCAGGATGGCTACAATAAAAGACAGTGAGAGCGCCAAATGCTGGCAAGGATGCAGAGAAAGTGGATGACTCATGCATCGCTGCTGAGAATGTAAAATGCCGAAGCCGCTCTGGGAAACAGCTTGGTGGTTTCTTTAAACATCAAACGCGTAGCTACTGTCCGACCCAGCAAATGCACTCCTGAGCGTTCATCCCAGCCAAATGGAAACCTACCTTCACACGAGAGCCTGCACACAAATGCTCACAGTAGCTTATTCATAATAGGCAAAAACCGGAAACAGCTCAGATGTCCTTCAGTGGATTAAACTCTGGTCATCCACACCATGCACCTAGTACTCAGCAATAAAAAATAAGAGATTATTAAGATACACAACAACCTGGGTGAATCTCCAGAGAATTCTTCCAAGTGAAAAAAAATCCTAAAATGTTACAAACTGTATGACTCCATTTACGTAGCATTCTTTTTTAAAATGAAAAATATATATAGTTAGTTATTTATTTGGCTGCGCCGGGTCTTAAAGTTGCAGCGTGCGGGCTGTTCGTTGCTGCGTGCAGGATCTTTTAGTTGCGGCATGCATGTGGGATCCAGTTCCCTGACCAGGGATGGAACCTGGGCCCCCTGCATTGGGAGCGCGGAGTCTTACCCACTGGACCGCCAGGGAAGTCCCTATATATCATTCTTGAAATGACAAAAGTCAAGAAATGGAGAACAGGCTAGCAGCTGCCAAGGGTTCGGGAGGGGGTGGGAAAAGAAGAGAGATGGTGGGAAAAAGAGTGACTTGAGGGATTGTTGAGGGGACAGAGTTCTGCGTCTTGACTGTATCAATGTCACTATCCTGGCCCACGTGCAGCAAGGAAGACCCAACGCAGCCAAAAATAAATAAATTTATTTTAAAAACTCTACAAACTCTGATGAAAGAAATCAGAGAAGAACTAAATAATTGAAGAGATATTCCACGTTCATGGAGCGGAAGACTCAGTATTTCCAAGGTGCCAGTTCTTCACAACTTGATCTATAGAATCAGCACAATCCCAATCAAAATCTCAGCAAGTTATTTTGTAAATGTCAAAAAACTGATTCTAAAGTTATATGGAGAGGCAAAAGACCCGGAATAGCCAACACAATATTGAAGGAGAAGAACAAAGTTTGACTGACACTATCCAACCTCAAGACTTACTATAAAGCTACAGTAATCAGGACAGTGTGGTCTTGGTGGAAAAATTAACAAATAGGTCAATGGACCACAATAGAGAGCCCAGAAGCATACCCACGTAAATACGGTCAACTGACCTTTGGCAAAGGAGCAAAGGTAATACAATAGAGGAAAGAATGTCTTTTCAGCAAATGGTGGCAGAACAACTGGACATCCACATGCAGAAAAATGAATCTAGACATAGACCTTATACTCTTCATAAAAAATTAACTCAAAGTGGATCACAGACATAACTGTAAAATGCAAAACTCCTAGAAGATAAAATTGTGATCTATAAAAGAAATGACTGGTGAGCTGGACTTCATTAAAATTAAAAACTGTTCTGCAAAAGTCACTGTTGAGAGACTGAGAAGATAAGCCACAGACTGGGAGAAAATATTTGCAGAAGACACATCTGATTAAGGACTATTATCCAAAATATACAGAGAACTCTTAAAAGTCAACAGTGAGAAAATGAGCAGCCCAGTTACAAAGGGGCTAAAGACCTGGACAGATGCCTCACTAAAGAAAATACACAGGTGGTAAGTAAGCACATGAAAAGATACTTTAGATCTTGTGTCCTTAGGAAATTGCAAATTAAAACAACAACGCGATACGGCCACACGCCTATCAAAATGGCCAAAATCCAAAACATTGACACCACCCAATGCTCACTTCTGCCCACCTGGGCCCACGACCTTCATAAAGAGAGCTTCACCTGCAGAATGAGCTGTGCCTTTCCCCTCCAGTTGTCCTTATCCTTTCCTCAAACTGCTGTTCTCCTAGATTCTCTAACTTCTCCCACCATTTTTATCTTGGATGAAAATTCCACCTTCAATTCCTTAAACAAGTATATTTGCTTCTTACAATAATTTGTCTATTGTGGTTTTAAAAGCTTCACCCCACTGAAACTAGACAATCCCTGGCAGAGTTTTAGGTATTGGTGCAGGGTTTAATAAAAGGGATAAAGGTCTTCAGAGCCACGATGAGGGTTACAAGTAGGTTCCTGCTGATATATTGCAGCCAATAGAAGCTTGTCTCTTAAGGATGGTTTGCTTGCTCCCACATTTTCTGTATTGTGTATGAGCTTGTGGTTAACTGATAGGAAAGAAGATTTTCAGCATGTGCGACATAAATATATATTTGGTCTCTGCCCCCGACATAGAGTTCCTAAAACTCCTGTAATTTCCTGAATGATAGGGGTGGTAGGAGCATCTTACACAGAGCACCTGAATTCCTTGGAATATCCTAGGTGGTAGGGATGTCGTTTGTTCCACGGAGGTGACTCTTGGTGGGCTCCTGGATAGCTTCAGAATGGGAGCTGGTCTCCAGAAAGACCAAACCATTATTAGAAGCTTGTAATTTGCAGCCACGTCCCCATCCCCCAGGGAGGGGAGAGGAGCTGGAGATTGAGTTAATCTGCATGATGAAGCCTCAGTAAAAATCCCTAAACTACAGGGTGTGGAGAGCTTCCAGGTGGGTGAGCACATCCATGTGCCAGGAAGATGGTGCACTCCAGCTCCAGGGGACAGAAACTCCTGTGCTCAGCACCCTTCTGGACCTCGCCCTATGTACCTTTTCATCTGTTCATTTATACCCTTGATAATAAACCAGTAATGGTAAGTAAAGTGTTTTCCTGAGTTCTGTGAGCTGTTATAACAAATTATCTAACCCGAGGAGGGGTCATGGGAGCTTCAGGTTTGTAGTGAAGTCAGACAGAAGTGGGGGTAACCTGGGACCCACTACGTGTGATTGGTGTCTGCAGTGGGGGCAGTCTTGTGGGACTGAGGCCTTAATCCTGTGGAATCTGAATTCAATTCAATTCAATTACAGGACACCTGAGAGTTGGAGAATTGGTTGGTGTTGGAAAAAATTAAAAACACCACGCATTTGGTGTCGGAAGTGTGAGTAGAGAACTAGTTCTCTTTTAGCGTGTGTCATTTTTGTTTAAATGACTTTTTCTCGGATTCTTGAAAAGATAAGACGTAAGCTAAACTGCATTTCTGGAGAAACAAAAACCCAGCAGATAATCTAACCTAATCACAAAGGTGGCCCATGTCATTTAGTACACAGAAGGTAGAAAGATGACAAGGTGGTTAAATTTGCACAGCCACACCCAGAAATAAGGACATACTATTTTTATTTTTATATGGTTCTAAAATAGCATTACTTCTCTCTCAGAAGCAAAAAGATGTGCTTTTATGTTTTTTTAGTCATCCTATGCAACTTTAACTCTGGGCATTAGAGTGGCTTTATTCACAACTCTACTTTGGCTTTTACTTCTCATACTGAATTTTCTACAAGTTGTACTGATTTAATAAATTCTCTCCATTGAGAATCCCTGCAGGGGTCATGCCTTTCCAGATGCCCTTTCCCTAACTTTCAGGCTTCAGCTCAGTGTACCTGGCCACAGCCTGAGTATCCTCAGGCAGCACCAAAGGTCCCTTAGCTCACAGGAGCCCAGGTTCCAGGCGGACTCCCCTGAAATGCTGGGGTCATTGCCCTAAGGATTGCTGCTCACCTTCCTTGCTGATCAGGGCTGCCTCTGGCCTCTGCAGGGGGCTATACCTAGTTGCAGGGTCTTTCTAGGCAGCTGTTTGCCTCAAAGTAGTTCTGGAGGACACTGTTCCCTTCCCCTCCCTCCACACCTGCACCGTGCAGCTCCTGGGCACTTAAAATGTGCCTGATGCAAATTGGAATGTGCTAGAAGTGTAAAATACACACTGGATTTCAAATATTTGGTACATACAAAGAATGTGAACTATCTCAATCATTTTTATTTTGATTATGTGTTGAAATGATAGTGTTGGGGTTAAATAAAAGATTATCAAACTGATTTCACCTGTTCCTTTTTTACTTTTCTCATATATGGCTACTAGAAAATTCTAAATTATATGTGGTCGGCAGGTATTGCAGTTGGCAGCACTGCCAAGAGGGACATGGAAAGGAGGGCAGCCCTCCCAGAAGGAGTCACAAAGCCCCCCATTTCCAAGTCCCCTTCCAGCCCCCAAGGGTGAAGTGGGCTAGGTGGGCTCCTCCGCAGCACCCCCTCCCTGCTCTGCCCCGAGATGTTGATGGGACTGAAAGCACGCAGAGCAACAGGGAGCACTGCTCATGGAGAGCTCCGCCTCCTACAACACTTGTCTCTGCCTCCGGCTTTCTGCCACAGAACCCAGATCCCAAGGGGTCACGAAGGCGTTGAAACAGAGAAGAATTAAGAATTTCTTTTCCCCGCTTTGGTTCCCCGTCAGAGCTAGGCTGTTCCAAACACAACTCTACAAATCGTCAGCTTACTCCTTGGCTCCTGGCTCACTGATGTGCCTAGTGGCCAGGCCCTATGACCCCACTTCTTTTAGTGGTGTGTTTGTAAATGAGCTTTCTAAACATTCTCCAAGGGGCCAATACTATTAATGAACACAGAAACATAACAAATATATTCTTCCACTATTAAGTTAATTACAACAATGGAAGACATGTCAAATTTTTATTCCTCTTTGCTTTTACAATAGAACCAAAAGAGAGTCAACTTAATAACTTATCTTACCTGCTGATTTCTGCAAACTAGTTACTTTACAAACAATAATAATATTATAACAATAATTATGGAGAAGTTAATTGGATAATAGAGCTTTTCCACAATTTAAATGGAAACACATAAGAAACTAGATAATTTTCAGTCCCACAACTCAAAATGCTACTGACCAAACCAACCCTGCTGTCTGCATTTCACTGCGGCCCTAGAGGAGACTGGTAATTCCTGTGACTCTGGGGAAACATCTACACTCAGAAATTCTCCAAGGTATTCAGTAGTTCTCTACAGATTTTAAGTTGTATCTTAGCAGCCTATCTGGAGAATTTGTTTCTAAACAATTTAGGGGAAAATCATTATGGCTTTTTATGCAGAGAACCCGCCAGAGGAAGAAATTCCCGGGAGAGGGTGAAGTCAATAGGAATGGACTTTTACTTCTCTCCAGGGCCTGCTTCCACCCTCCATGACTCAGTGTTAGTGCAGACAATTCTCCCGGGATCACAGGAACACATGCTCTCTCCTCGGGTCCAGACAACAGCAGTTATGTCATGCACCTCCTCAAAAACAGAGGGAGGGTTTTAATCGCCAAATCCCTCAGAGACTCTGA